AAGGTGTACAAGGGATATTTTTAGGAAAAAACTGAGAATTTTACCATTAACAGACTTTCTCTAAAACAACTTCTAGAAGAGTTACTTCAGGAAGAAGGAAAATGATCCTAGAAAGAAGGTCTAAAAATGCAAGAAGAAACAGTAGGCAAAGAAATTAGTAAACATGTAGATAAATACAAACAAACACTGTCTGCATAAATCTACTAGTGGAAGATGATGATGGTGTACAATATGTGGGGTTGACAAGGGATGGGAGCCAGGTCTGGACAATAATGATGAGGTGAGGCTGATGAGAGTCAAGTGGAGTTCCTTGTAGGAACTTCCTGAGAAGGTTTAGGTACTGACTCACTTCAGACTTTGTTAAACCGTAAAATTTCAAGGATAATCACTAAAAACAGAGAAGATATAATTTCCACACCAGTAGAGGAGAAGATAGAATTAGGGAAAAAATCAACTCAGTTAAAAAAAAAAGGGAAGAAAGACTTTTAGAAAATAGCAAATAGAAAGTAAAAAGATAGTAGAAATGGAAATATTATCAGTAATCATAAGAAGTATAAGTAGCAAGCAATTAAAAGACTGATTCTCAGGGGTGCCAGTTAAGTGTCTGACTCTTGGTTTCAGCTCAGGTTGTGATCTCAAGGTTGTGGGATCGAGCCCTGCGTAGGGCTCTGTGCTCAGTATGGAGTCTGCTTGAGATTCTCTCTCCCTCTCCATCTGCCCCTCCCCCCAGGGCTCTCTCTCTCTCTCTCAAATAAATAAATTTTAAAAATCTTAAAAAAAAAATGATTCTCAGTCTTAGATTAAAAAAAAAAATTAGACATACCTAGGGACACCTGGCTGGCTCAGTTGGTGGAGCATGCAATTCTTGATCTCAGGGTCATTAGTTCGAGCTCCACATTGGACTTAGAGCTCACTAAAAGAAAATAAATAAATGAATGAATAAAAAGAAAAAAACTTAGACACAACTAAAATAAAAGAACATGGAAAGGATGAAAGTAAAATGATGAAAAAAGATATACCAGCCATATACTAATGAAAAGAGAGCTGGTGTAGTTACTGATACGAGACAAAATAGACTATAAGGCAAAAAGTATTACTAGGGCCTTTTATCATTATCATGATAAAAGGTTTAGTTCATCAGGAAGATACCACAGTTGTGGGTACCTACTAAAATAGCATCCAAACGCATAAAATAAAAATTTATAGAACTATGGAGAGAAATTGACTAGTCTAATATAATGGGAGATTTCAGTACAATGCTTTCAATTATTAACAGGTCAAGAAAGATTTGAATAATATAGTCAACCAGTCTGATTTAGTGGATGTAAATTAGTCTGCATCCATCCATCAAGGAATAGACATTTTCAAGTACACATGAACATTTCTAAAAATTGACCATATAAAATACCATAAAGCTAGTTTCAACAAATTTCAAATGATATGGTTTACATAAATCACTTTTCATGACCTATGATCATAGATCTAAGTTATGCAATTAAGCTAGAAGTCTGAAACAGAAAGAAAAATGACACCCCCCCCAAGTTTGGAAATTAATTAGAAAGTGCACTTCTGGGTGCCTGGGTGGCTCAGTTGGTTAAGTGACTGCCTTCGGCTCAGGTCATGATCCCAGGGTCCTGGGATCGAGTCCCACATCGGGCTCCCGGCTCAGCGGGGAGCCTGCTTCTCCCTCTGACCCTCTCCCCTCTCATGCTGTTTCTCTCTCACTCGCTCACTAATAAATAAATAAATAAATATTAAAAAAAAAAAAAGAAAGTGCACTTCTAAATAATTTATGAGTCAAGTAAGACTTCATAATAGAAACTGAACATTGTATAAAGACAGCTATAGGATATGTGATAAAAATTCTACATATCAAAACTGGTGGATGCAGCAAAAATGGTAATTATTATAGAGAAATTTATACCTTTAGATGCTTACATTAGGAAAAAAAGACTGAAAATTAGTGAGCTAGAGAAGAGCAGAGAGGAAGGAAAAGAGGAAAGAAAACACCCCCATAGAATAAACTCAAAGCATAAGGGAGAGGTAAAGATGAGAGCAAAAACTAATGCCATGGGCAATAAATGTACCATAAAGATGATCAACGAGCAGACGCCAGAGAAAATAGATCTTCTGGTAAGATTCATTAAGAAAGAGAGTAGTAGCATGCATGAATAAGCAATAATAAAGAACAGAAGAAAGCTGCAAATACAGAAGTGGTTAAAAAGATAGGATGCACACACCACGGATAATAACATTACATAAGTGAATTTTAAAACTTATTAGAAAGGGAAACATTTCTATTTATTTGACAGAGAGAGCAGGAACACAAGTAGGAGGAGTGGGAGAGGTAGAAGCAGGCTTCCCAGGGAGCAGAGAGCCCGATGCAGGGCTCGATCCCAGGACGCTGGGATCATGACCTGAGCCGAAGGCAGGCGCTTAATGACTGAGCCACCGAGGCGCCCCTAAGGGAAACATTTCTAGAAAAACATACTTTGTCAAAGCTGTAATAAGAAAGCCTGAGTTTCCAATAGTATTAAAGAAATTGAATCAGTGGCTTAAAAAAAAAATCAAGCTTAGCTGGTTTTAGGCAATTACTAGCAGGTTTTCATAGGATAGATTATTCTAATTTTATTTTATTTTACTTTATTTTTAAGATTCATTTATTTCAGGGAGAGAGAGCAAGAGCACGTGTGCATGTTGGGGGGCGGGCCGAGAGAGAGAGAGAGAGAGAGAGAGAGAGAGAGAATCTCAAGCAGACTCCCTGCTGAGCACAGAGCCGGATGTAGGGCTTGGTCTTACAACTCTGAGATCATGACCTGAACCAAAATCAAGAGTTGGACGCTTAACCGACTGAGCCACTCCGGCGCCTCTACTCTGATTTTATACCAACTCTTATAAAGAATATCAAAAGAAGCAATACTCCCCAACTCATATGAGATTAGTACAACCTTGAAATAGAATGAGCCAAGGCCCGTGTGAGAAAGAAAATAACAGACCAGAATCCCTCATGAACATAGATGGAAATGTTATAAACAAAATATTAGCAAATTGAGTCCAACAGTGTATGATAAAGACAATTCGTCATGACTAAGCTAGATTTACCCCAAGAATATTAGGATGATTCAACATAAAAACCTGTAACATTAACTCTTCACATTAATGGGTTAAAGGAGAAGTTATATGATTATCTCAACAGAAATAGTAAAGGCATTCAGTAAAAGTCAACATCCAATCATGAGAAAAGCTCTTAGTAAAGCAGGAATAAAATGAAACTTCCTAACATTAAAGGGTTATCTTTTCTTTAAAAAAAGCCTACAGTAGTCATCATTCTTAATGGTGAATCATTGGAAGTCGCTGTTCCTTAGAGAACAGAACAAAACAACGGTGTCTGCTCAATAGGGCAAGCATAGCACAGATATAAAGAGAAAGAAGGAAACAATACTGTCATTAGTTGCTGCTAATGTAATTGTGTACATAGGAAACAATAAAAGAATCTACAAGTTAGATTATTCAAATTATTAATTGTAAATTGGTACAACTGAAAGACACTTTGGCAATATTTTATAAAACTGAACTAGATATATTACAGAGAAATTCTTGCACATGCATAAGAATATTCCTCACAGTACTGTTTACAAGAGCAAAAAACTGGAGGCTGCCGAACGTCCATTGATAGGAGAATGTATAAATAAAAAACCTACATATTCAGCTAGTGAATGAACTACAGCTACACATGTAACCTGGTCAAATATAATGTATGAAAAAGGCAGGTTGCGGAAAACTGCATCGTCATGATACCACACTCACAAAGCTGAAACAAGTGAACTAAACAATATTTTGTTTGGGGATGCATACACATATGATAAAGCTACATATTTTTTTTTTAAAGATTTATTTATTTATTTGAGAGAGCGAGAATGAGAGAGAGTACATGAGAGGGGGGAGGGTCAGAGGGAGAAGCAGGCTCCTCGCTGAGCAGGGAGCCTGATGCGGGACTCGATCCCGGGACTCCAGGATCATGACCTGAGCCGAAGGCAGTCGCTCAACCAACTGAGCCACCCAGGCGCCCGCTACATATTTTTAAAAATTAAAAAAAAATGGGCACCATAAAATTCAAGCCTCTGTTCCCTCTGGTGAGGAGGCAGGGTAAGACAGGAAAGAGGCACACAGGTGGATGCACCAATAGGTAATGTTCTAGTTCTTAAATTGAGCAGCGGGTTTCCGGGAGTTTATTTTATGCTGCATTTATTCTTTTGATGTATCAAATACTAGGCATTAAGCTTTTTATAGAGTGGCTTGTAGTTACCCTCGTTCACCACTACATGACAGGCTAGTCCGTCAGTAAAGCCACTCCTAATAGGAAAAAGCTGGCGGGAAGGGAGATGCCTCGTAATGGCAGCGTTCTAGTGGCCATGAGCCTACAGGGGAATTCTCAGTGTTTACACGTGCAGTGGGGCAGCTTGGCTGTGTGCCTTACTCTGGCTAGGATCTCGAAGCCAGGGCACCAGGCTTTGTTTTTTTGCCTTTCTTTAGCCCTGGTTATGTCACCATTTTCCAAACTTAAAAGTGTATCTGCTAGAATGTCGATTTTTATTTCTCAGCATTTTCCCTATTTCCCAAGGTGATGGTTCCTAAATAAACGTCACAGAGCGTGGGGTTTATTACTTGGTCTCCCTCATGGAGAACTGACACATCTAACTTCCCCTTCTGTCTTTATTGATCTGGGGCTATGTTTTTCAGCGCTAGCATTAGAACCACGGTTTAATGAATATCTGCATGATATCATAATCATATATACAGGAATACTGAAATCTTTGTAACAATCCATGTTAAAATAGCAACACAAGAGTCATCAAAATTACTCACAGAAATCGTGGTGCCCAATAGCGTATCATGTGATGTACTTGACAGATGTTGGTAGAGACTCGTTTTAGCAGCCAGGGTTAGGACACCAAGTGGCCACGGTACCCCAGCCACCCATTTCTCTTTTCATTCTCTAGACCTGCCCGGTCCACTACATTAGCCGCTAAGTCACATGTGGCACTGAGCGCTTGGAATGAGATGTGCCCTGCACCCCGATGTTTATAGCAGCAATGTCCACAATAGCCAAACTGTGGAAAGAGCCAAGATATCCATCGGCAGATGAATGGATAAAGAAGATGTGGTATATATATACAATGGAATATTATGCAGCCATCAAAAGGAATGAGATCTTGCCCTTTGCAACGACGTGGATGGAACTGGAGGGTTTTATGCTGAGTGAAATAAGTCATTCAGAGAAAGACATGTATCATATGACCTCACTGATATGAGGAATTCTTAATCGCAGGAAACAAACTGAGGGTTGCTGGAGTGGGGGTTGGGGTGGGAGGGATGGGGTGACTGGGTGATAGACACTGGGGAGGGTATGTGCTCTGGTAAGCGCTGTGAATTGTGCAAGACTGTTGAATCTCAGATCTGTACCTCTGAAACAAATAATGCAATGTATGTTAAGAAAAAAAAAAGAAGAAGAAGAAGGTAGCGGGAGGGGAAGAATGAAGCGGGGGAAATCGGAGGGGTGGACGAACCATGAGAGACGATGGACTCTGAAAAACAAACTGAGGGTTCTAGAGGGGAGGGGGGTGGGAGGATGGGTTGGCCTGGTGGTGGGTATTGAGGAGGGCACGTTCTGCATGGAGCACTGGGTGTTATGCACAAACAATGAATCATGGAACACTTCATCTAGAACTAATGATGTAATGTATGGGGATTAACATAAGAATAAAAAAAAAAAAAAGGAATGAGATGTGCCCTAAGTGTAAAATACACCTTGGATTTTGAAGACAGTATAAAAAAAAAGCTTAATGTCTGTTTAATAATTATTCATATCGATTACCTGTTGATACTATTTTATATAAGTTAAATAAAATATACTATTAAAATTAATGTCATCTGTTTCCTTTGACTTTCTCAGAAATTTTAAAATTACGTACTGCCGGCTCACATATGTGATTCATATTATTTCCATTGGACAGCACTGCTTTAGATGTTCCTAGCAGTGCTCGCGATCCCTGCTTCCGGAGCCAGCCGCACGGCCACTGCTGCCACCTTCCGCCCGGACCAGGGTCCTGGGCGCGGTCGTGGGGACTGTCAGGGCGGGGCGGTGGCGGCCATCCCTCCCCGGCTCTGGGGCTCCGGCCGATCCGGGTCTCTCGCCCATTCGGGTCCAGGGGCGGAGCGCCAGTGGCGCCCCGCGGAGGTGACGGTCGCGTTGGGAGTTGCCTGTCTGCCTGGTTGGGGCAGCGCGCCCTTGGGGAGGCGAGACACCTGGCCGGACTCTCTCCAGACTCGGCACCGGGGTCAGCGGCTGGCGGGAGCCGGAACCCAACAGCACGCAGGTCTGAGTTGGAAAAGAAAGCGTGCCCTGGTCTGGCTTTGAGCTTGGGGGAGAGAAGGGGGGTGTGGGGTAGGGGGAGGGTCGTCCTCCTTCCAACCTTCCTCACTCTTTCTTGGGTTTGTCTCTTCTGGAGAGCTCCAGGCACTCCCTGGAGACAAGCCAAACCACGAAAATTGTGAAATTTCTATGATTCCGCCTGTGAGTTAAATACTAATGATTTGCATTTAAAACTGGCATTACACAATACAGAGAATGGTAAAAATTCATGCTAATAATTAAAATCTTAAATTTTTCCTGACATTTTCTAATGGTTGAAAAATTTTTTAAATTTGTAATTGTGGTTAAAATACATGTCATATAGGGCGCCTGGGTGGCTCAGATGGTTAAGCGTCTGCCTTCGGCTCAGGTCATGATCCCAGGGTCCTGGGATCGAGTCCTGCATTGGGCTCCCTGCTCCTCGGGAGCCTGCTTCTCCCTCTGCCTCTCTCTCTCTCTCTCTCTGTCTCTCATGAATAAATAAATAAAAAAAATCTTAAAAAAAAAAAAACATGTCATATAAAATTTACCATGTACACCATTTTAACTGTGCGGCTCAATCGCATTAAGTATATTCATGTTGCTGTGCGGCCGGTCTCCAGTTTTAGTATATGTGCTGCCAAAATAAATGCTGTGCAGCCAATCTCCAGAATTTTTCATCCTGCACAACTGGAACTCTATGCCCATGAAACACCGACTTTCTTCCATTTCTTCCTCCCGCTAGTCCTGGCAACCACCATTCTGCTTTCTGTTTCTATGAGTTTGACTGAAACCGTATAACATTTGTCTTTTTGTGATTGGCTGTTTCACGTAGCATAATTTTCTTAAGCATCATCCAGATTGTGGCAGGTATCAGAATGTCCTTCCTTGTTAAGAGTGAATAATTTTCCATTGCATGCATATACCACATGTTCGTTATTCATTCGTCCATCAAGGAACATTTGGGTTACTTCCACCTTTCAGCTATTGTGAATAATGCTGCTATGAACAGGGGTGTACAAATACTTCTTTCCAATTTTTGGCTAAAATAAACAAGGCTGCAATTAATATCTTTGTATGCAACCACTTTGCACATGTGTGAGTGTATCTGGAGGATACATTCCTAAAAGTAAATGGGTCAAGGGAAATGTACATTTTATCAGTTGTTAAAGATTGCCAAACTGCCGTCAGTAGAGGTTGAACCATTTTACAACAGCCTCACTAACACTGTATGCTTTCAGACAACGATCTTTGACAATATGATAGATTAGAAATGGAATTTCCATCAATTAGAATGAGTGGAAACATATAAAATATGTTGAGATCCATGAGTTTGGAAGGACACCACAAAAACTCCCAAATTTTCAAAGTTCACTTCTGGAGGATGCTAGGGAAACAATTCATGATTTTGAAAACAAGCAAAATGAAAAAAGAAAGGGGTCAAGTGTGACCTGTCTTTTCTATGTCAACCCTATATATCGCATATCAGGATAGCCGGATAGTTGATGGGAGGAAATTTCTCTTTATAAAAGTATTCTCATTGTTAAATGGAGAAAGAATGATGTAACCACTGAAAAAAAGCCATAGACAATGATCACCAATGATTGCAAAAGAGAGACAAAGTAAGAAAGAGATAGCTAGACATCCTGTGCCCCCTGACAGGAGATCATTGTGTTGTTTCTGAACTATACTTGCCAATCATCTAAACTTGAATCTGATCAAGTCACCAGGGTTAATTGCCAACTACCAAGTTACAGGAAAAAATAAGGATAAGAACATGTTGAGCAACATATCAAGGGGATGGGATCAGCAAAATCCAAACTGTAGGAAACTCAAGTGACCTAGTTTCTTCAATAAACAAATTAAAAGAAAAAAAAGAGGAGGGAGAAGGGATCTCTAAATTAAAATAAATTCAAGGTGGGGTGCCTAGGTCAGTTGGTTAAGCATCTGCCTTAGGCTCAGGTCATGATCCCAGGGTCCTGGGATCGAGCCCCTCATTGGGCTCCCAGCTCAGTGGGGAGTCTGCTTCTCCCTCTCCCTCTGCCTGCTCCTTCCCCTGCTTGTGCTCTTTTTCACTCTCCTCTCTCTCAAATAAATAAAATATTAAAAAAAAAATTCACGGTTCATAGCAACCAAATGTAATATATGGGCCTTTTCAGGGTCTGATTCAAACCAAAAAATGTGTTATTATTTGTAAGATGGTTGGGAATTTGAACCCCGATTTGATATTATATTAAGGAATCATTGTTAATTTTAAGGTACTATGGTATTATGCTATTTTATCATATGACATTTTAGATATTAAGATATTATTTTGTAGATTTGTGGCATTATGGTTAGGTTAAAAAATCTTATCTTTTAAAGATCTACTAAAATAATTATTGATGAAATGATACAACGTCTGAGATTTGCTTCAAAATAACACAGTGGGAGTGTATGTGGGATGAAGTGCAGATGAACCAAGATTGACGATGACCTTATGACTGTTAAATCTGAGTGATGCATATTCTACAATTCTCTGTACTTTTGTTCATGTTGGAATTTTTCCAAATAAAAGAGTTTATTCAAAAAGAGAATGAAAAGAGTAATTAGAATAGGTACAAATAGCTCTTTGTAGCAATTTTAATGTAAAAAAGGAGCAAAAAGGAAAAAGAATCAGTAGCTAGGAAGGTCAATAGAAGGTGATTTTTTTTTTTTTAAAGATTTTATTTATTTATTTGACAGAGAGAGACACAGCGAGAGAGGGAACACAAGCAAGGGGAGTGGGAGAGGGAGAAGCAGGCCTCCCACTGAGCAGGGAGCCCGATGCGGGGCTCGATCCCAGGACTCTGGGATCAGGACCTGAACCCAAGGCAGATGCTTAACGACTGAGCCATCCAGGCACCCCCATTTTTTTTCTTTTTCTTTAAAAAAGATTTTATTGATTTTTTTTTTCAAACTAATCTCTCTGTCCAATGTGGGGCTGGAACTCACAACCTCGAGATCAAGGTCAGTCACATGCTCTACAAGCTGAGCCAGCCCGGTGCCCCAATAGAAGGGTATTTAAAAATTTTTTTTTTCAAGTATTACATATATATGAAAAAGGATACAGCGCAGAGCCTCCTCACCAAGTGAATATTTCCCATGAATGAACAAAGATATTTTATTGTGGATTTTTGGGTAAACATTTCAGTAAAGCACATAAACATTAAACTCAACTGATTGTAGAAATGAGTGTCTCAATATAATCATCATCCAAGTCAAGAATAAAACATTTGTAAAATGCTAGAAACTTCCTGTCTCCTGCCAGACAATAAATAACCCTTGCAAAAGGTAACTTCTCTTCTATCATCAAAGATTAGTTTTGTTTTCTGAACTTCATATAAATGGAGTCACACAGTAGTTACTCTTTTCATAGTTTGTTTTGCTCATATATATATCAGAGAAGAAGGGAGAAAAAAGAAAAATTTTGAGAGAGCCATTGTACCAACCTGTGATGGCAATAAACTATGGACCAAGAAGTGTGATTTATTAATTCTCTGCACCTGAGTTCCAATTTCAAAAAGAAAGGAAAACACATAATTTTAAAAAGTAAATAAAACAGGAAACAAATATATGAAAAAATCCCAACATTTTTAGGACTCAGAGAATATGGATATGGATATACCAATGAGATATTAGTTATACTGTTATGGAACCTAGACTGGATCACCCGATGGAAGAACCAGGCGGCACTCGGAGATCTTGGAGGATAGGAGGTTTATTTAACGCAGGCGGGCTCAGAGGAGAGTGATCTCCAAAGGTCTGAGCCCTGAGCACAAACAAGGGGGGTAATTTATATACTTCTACTTCTGCATACTTGGCACTTTTGGCCCGTGCGCGAAGTGGGGCAGGGAGAAGGACCTGGAAGAGCCCCAGGGCAAGGACTGGGACTCTCTCTCGCTGGCTCGGTTGGCCATCTTAGGACACAGATTTTTC